CCCCAAAACCCCAAAACCCCAAAACCCCAAAACCCCTAATTTCCTTTTTATTATTGAAAATAGCTAAATTTATGGAAATTAGAAACTTCCCATTGATGAGAGAGATTCAGACCCTTCTTCAGAAAGAGCCTCGACGAAGGTGAAATTAGAGAGATCAAGCTTTGTTAGACCCTTGTCGCTCAGGACTGAGCTCTCAGCAGAGTTGCCATAGCAATACTTAAAGTGTCCTTTGGGGATCTTCACTTGGCGCTTTGATACCGGATTAGAGGTGGCTAACTCCTCCCAGTTTATATCTTTGAAGAAAGCGTGCTCCATTACTTCTTCCGCCCCCTTTGTTCCTAGTCTTTCATCTGGATCAGTGTTTAAGAGCTTTGAAATAAGATCTTGAGCTTGTGGGGTAAACCTTCTTCCAAATTTGATCTTGCTGGAGATAATCTTTTGGACTATTATCTTTCTTTCGTTGCTATCAAACGGTAGTTTTCCTGAGATCATTTCATAAAGTATAACTCCAAATGACCACCAGTCGATGGCAAAATGGTAATCTTTCCCAAGAGCGACTTCTGGGGCGATATATTGGAGTGTACCACAGATAGAATGCCTCGACTCTGGAGCATCCTCCTGCCTATCTTTCTTTGAGAGTCCAAAGTCAGTAAGCTTCACTCTATAATCCTGATCAAGCAAGATATTCATAGGTTTAAGGTCTCGGTATAGAATGTTGTTTTCATGAAGACATTTTAATCCAAGTAAAATCTGAGCAGATATTTTTGTAGTCAGAGGCTCCTTAATTCTCCGCTTGTGGACTATATGATAGCATAAGTCTCCAGCATCCATGAAATCCAGTATGAGGAAAAATTTTGTTTCAGATTGGAACGAGAAATGCAACTTCACCTATAAATTATAAGAATCATTCACCACTTACAATGAAGGGACTATCAATCTGTTGTGTAATATCCTTTTCAGTTAGAACTTGTTCCTTGTCTTTTCTGCTCGAAATACCTGACTTTCTAATGACTTTCATGGCGTAAAGAATTCCTATACATAGCATGTAAGATAAGTTGTACTTAGTTCATACCTGTATCAATTTTATTTGACTAGGTAAACCTTTCCGTAGGCGCCTTCCCCAATGATTTTAACTACAGTAAAGCTCTTGAGTGTAACAGCTACACTTTGCTTTGAAGAGTCGGCTGACTCTGTCATAAAATTCTCGCTAAGTTTTGTGGAAGCAGAGTCTAATTTCCCCATTCTTATATCTTCTGTCATAAGTTTCTTGTTCATTTTACGTCGTTTTTTGCTTTCTTTTTTAGAAGGCTTCTTCTCAAGTGATTCATCTTTCTTAAGACACTGCATGCGATCTCATGTATTACCCATTAAGTTCTAGTAATTATATAAAATTTTCAATATGCTATTTGATGAATGGGGTTTTGGGGTTTTGGGGTTTTGGGGTTTTGGGG